GGAGAGAACCCACGCTGCACGGGGAGAACATGGAGACTCCACGCAGAAAGATCCGACGACCTTCTTGCTGCGAGGCAACAGTGCTAACCACCGCTCCACCCTGCAGCCCCGCCCTTGAACTACACTTCATCAAATCAAAGCTTTGTGATATTTCTTCAAAATTACTTTATTCTGCAGGTCTTACTGAAAGTTAAGCCAAAATAAAGTGTTTAAAGTGTGTAAAAAAAAAAAGAAAAAGAAAAAGTTTGTATTCAACCATGAAGCCACGACGGACACAGCTGTGACCAACAGTCATGTAAAATTCTGGGATTTTTCAGCTGAACTGCAGGCTGTGTTTACAAAAAGCAGTCAGGAGACAATTAGTGGAAACAAATTACAAGTGTAAGTAGTAACATATGTATAGTATGTAGAGTATGCTTTTTGTTCTTCTTAGTATTGTTAACACCTGTGGGGTTTTGGAAAAATGTCATATATGTTGATAGTATAGGAATCAAAAAAGGAATCTGTTTGTTTTCTCATGTTTATAATATTATAGCTGCATAAAAAGACATTTCTGAGTTCCCTCTACTTCAGCCATAGCTGGGCTGTTTCAATAGAGGTTGGGGTTCAGGAGGTTCATCTTTTGTGAACAACAATTTGTTTTCCCAAACTTAAATAATTTGCAAATTCTAATTAAAAAAACATTTGCCTTTGTAAATACAGTACAGAACACGTCCATTACATCACTGGAACACAGAGTCCTAAAGTCATTCACTCAGCTCCAATGTCCTCATTCACAGCGCGCCGCATTATCAGTGGTGCAACAACAACATAGACATTCATTAGGTTGTAAATTACGCAGCCTCTTAAGAAACACTTGCCGCCGTCATTAACCTCATTCAGTGTCCTTATTGTCACCGCAGCCGAGCAGCAGCCATCCCTCCCTACAGCTTGTATTATGTTGCGGTGCAGGTATAGAAATGAGAATAAAATTTCCCACCTGCTCTCCCAAACAGGCTGCTCATGGTATCCGGTATCATTTCACCAAACCTCGCCAACAAAACCAACCATATCTCTGTTCACTCACCGGGTTCGCATACGCAGGTGTGGCGCTCCCATTGGTCGGCGCAGCGGCTGTGAGCCGGACAAGGAGACGAGACGCAGGGATTCCCGACGTTACATCCGGTCTCCACTTTGACGGCTCTGGACGGGCGAGGCAGGGCGGGAGAGTCCGGCCGAACACCCAAACGAACACCCTAAAGATGGAGACGTGGAGTGTTACAGTCAGATTTATTCATTTATCCAAAACCTGTCAATCCCAGACTCATTTCTTGGCTCATTTTCATCCCTCATGTGATAACATTTAAAGCCCTCCAACCACCTGCATGCCCGTCTGTCAATAAATATTAAAAATCTAACCCATCCATCCTCACCTGTATGCATCCTCTTATCCCGTTCTGAACCTCTCCGGAGCCGAGCACTCCTCCCACATGCAGATGTTTCACCTTCAAACCATGAATCTCATTTCCCACTATCACCGTACCCTAATGAGGAGAGAAAAGAGGGACAGATGGAGACAGGAAGGGCAAAGATTATTATTATTAATAGCGGTGTGCAAACTCAAAGGCTGGACAAAGATACACAAGAGGCACTTCAAATACCATTATGTGACAGCGCAGGAGACCTCTGTAATTTATTTGGTGTGAAAATATTAGAAATAAATGGCTTGAAGCATAAAAAAAGCCCTGTCACAAACGAGTAAAGAGATCATCAACAAGGACAAATTGTTATTTTATTTTTCTGAAAATGGTATTTTCTAAACCTCTCAATGAGGTTATTATGGGGCTTCCAATATGTCAGTCAAACAGGACGGGAAGAGAACATGATTGAGCGAAATGATTGACTCCATTAAAGAAAAGAAAACAGTAACATGCAATCAGCGCAGAGAAGGTCACCGCTCAGCTGATAACACGTGCGAAGCGATCTTGACAAACCGGCTCGGCTCGCGAGAGGCACGAAAACGAAACCAGTGAGCTCTTGTTCATCACTGTTTCAGCAGCAGGCGCCAAAATAGAGGGTGAAACATGTCTGATAAAAGCTGCACACGTGCCAAACCCCTTTCAGAGGCAGTTAGCGTTTAATTGGCAGCTACCACGTTTAATAATTTTGTGTTAAAAAATGTTTTCGGCGCCGTTCGCTCAGTGCGCCACTTGATGCACTTTGAAGAGGAGCCTGGTGAACTGCAGCAACAAGATGAAAGACGTTACTAGCGGGCGGATGAGTTAAGAATTAAAACAACATAAAAACACGGCAAAAATTGTTTGTTTAAACCGAGCCGAAGATGACGATAAGACAACTGTGAAGTGTGTGCTTTTTCTGTGCTCGTGTTACTGTTACGTAAATGATGTGTAGCTCATACCTTGTGCACACATCCAGCACACATCATCCAGTACAATCTGACACAATAATCCACTGGAGATTAGGGAAACTAGGATTAGCAGAGCCACATCTTGGAGAGTCTGAGGCTATGCAGGGATGTAGGAAAGCCTCTGCCCCAGCGGTGAGCCCGCCTTCGAAGTCACTTGGATCTTTTTACCAATATCAGAGCCAACTGGGCATGCTCAGTTTCACAGAGCACAACTGGATGCTGCTGTGGAACCAGGACATTCTGAGGACATTCTGATTACAAGTGGGCTACTAGAACAAGACACAGCAGGCCCAATGAAAGAGGATACGCACACAACAAATGTGGGAAACTCCAACGTCCACGCTGACTGAGGAGCAGCTGGTAGCCCAGAGCTCATACATCAGGAAGATACTATCACAGCTGGAACTGGAGAGGCTCCAACAGATCAGGAACCAAGCAGCAAGGACATACTGGGCCAACAGTGCAAAGCAGCTGAGGAAGTAGATGCTACATTACCACCACCAAAGGAGATGCTATGCTCACTACTCCCAGTTACCACCATCATGGAAACCAGTGAACTCATATGTGAGACTGCACCTGGAGTCCTGGACATACTTGGGTATAGGATCAAAAATTCAACATGCAGACAAGGTTGGAAGCCCAAAGAGACCTTAGTTGGCGAACAGAAGTGTGTCTTGAGAAACTGGTCCTGGATGGTTAAAAAGTTCAACAAGACGTCCACAAGTGAGGCTCTGGAGACGGCCAAACAAAGACTCGACTGAAGATATACACCAGAGAAGCAGAGGCTAAGAGAATAAAATGTCCTCCAACGACCCAACCAGGATGCATCCCAGCTGCATGGGAACAACAGCACACCGATAGACTGAGCAACACTGGAAGAGCATATTGGAGAAAGCACCAACAGCAAGCGGCTGATGGCCCTAAAAGCACCTCATCACAAAGCCAGACCTCCAACAATGAGTCTAAAGCATGAGGAGCTCCACAGCACCAGGACCTGACACGATCCACTCCTACTGGCTGAAGAACCAAACAGCGCTCCATGGTCGACTGGCAGCACCAAGGGAAGTGTTGCTAACAGCAGGCACCCATCCAGACTGGCAGGACAATCCTGACTGTGACGCACCCCCATAAGGCACAACACCTTAATACTACCAGCCGATAACCCGCCTCTCCACGACATGGAAGCTCCTCTAAAGCATCACAGCAGCTGGAGCAGGAACATGAGTCAGCACAAATGCACAACTATGGGAAACAGCACCAAGACTCTGGAAGAAACACACACTGCATTATAAATCGTTGAATTTATTTCTCTACTTACTCTTCTTCTTTCTTCTACATAGATATCACAACCTCCTGTCTGAACAGAGCTGTAAACATCCCCACACACACACACCATACACATGTAAAAACCACATGTACACTCATTTTAGTGTTAACCTGAGTTATGTATGTATTTATATGTGCCATTATGTTCCACCCCTGTGTTCTACTAATTACTTTTGTTCCATGTCCTCTCATGTCTTATTTGTATTTGTGTTTGTATACGTATTTGTCAGAGATCTGTGGTGTCTTGGTGGTGGAAAGGAAGCTTATGGGAAATCCAAGGAAACAACGGGGGTTGGGAGGAAATAATGGTAAGAAATGACAAGATAGTAAGATAAGAAGGTTAATCCCACATTTTAACTTGAGATTTGACATCTTGGAGGCCAAAAGCAGCAGGTCAGAATTTACATATATATCACTTAGTTGTGTCTTCAACTCCTGAATGACTTGGAACAAGTGGCAAAAATGTACTCATTTCAAAATCTCCTTGAAAACTCGCTAAATTTTCTTCATAGTAGAGAGGTGATCTGCTGAAATTGTGCTTTGAAATACTAGTTTGTGACAGTTTTTCAAGCATTGCTGCAGAATATATACAGAAATTATTGGCAGGTAAATAAGATAAATGTTATTATTACGATAATCAGCTGATAATTACATGTTATAATGTGGCACATGGCTGTAATGTAAGAGGTCCATAAAAGCACCTGCTGACTGCTTCAACCATAGCTGGTGCGCTTGTCATGCCAATACTAAGAAAGCATGCTTATTTACCTCTTATGCATTTCTAAGATTAATATTATTGGTGATTCTTGGTTGATGTTGGCCACAATTAACCAATAATTATCAGCTCCTAAATTCCATATTGGTACATCTACAGTTTCGTGCCAAATGCAGAATCTTTCCTGTATCGATGAAAACCTGATTTCAACACTTAAAATGAGTTCACGTGTAACTGATCTGCTTTCTCTCCTCTGCGGTTTTCTCCTTCACCGTTCTGGCTCACAGCAGTATGAGTTAGAGGTCTGCGCACATGGAGATGTTTTGGATTAAAGCATTTCTTGCCTCCGTCCACACTCAGTGCTTCAAAATTCCAATTAGTGAGATCTCCAGTGATTAGACTGAATAATGTTGTCCGTCAGACTCGCTGCAGATTTCAAACTGCCAAATTAAATCTAAACCCAGAATTATAGATGACTTTTTCAGCCAATTAAGGTTGCGAAACCGCTTTGGGTCGTGATTGAAAAAAAAAAAAACAGCAGAAAATTAATTGTTCATGGAAATTAAGTCCTATTGATTTAGTGGAGCAGATATGATGAAAACCTTGTTGTTCATTTACAGCTGTGCTTGCAGACTTCTAAATCCTACATTTACACTATTTTAATAGCATTTTGTGACTTCAATTTGCTGCCCTTGAAAACTCCACTCCATCATCTGCCTCTAATTGTGAGGTCTTAGCGCTACAACATTAAGTCTGTTTACTTTTGGATTTCTGTCATCTCCGTTACCTGATAGAGTCCAAAGTCAAGCCGCAGCGTGGCGACGTATCGCGTCTCGCGGCCGCTGCGGACATCTCGCAGCTCCAGCTGGAGGTCGTGCCACCGGCCGTCTGCCACTTGAACCTGATCCAGCCGCAGACGCACCGGTCTGGTCGAACCGCGGGTCACCGAGAACACCAGCTGACCATTTATCACCTGAGACAGAGATGCGAAGCCAAAGAGCAGAGGGAAAACAAGAGAAAACGAGCAAATTATTCACTACAAACTGTATATGTATGATTGTGCATGACCCTGTTTCTGTCAAGATCCTGCTGTATTAAAGCTCTCTATGGATGTAGCATGTGACATTTAAACTATACACACACAATACATGTACATTTCCAAAGCAATACCAGCATTTTTGTGAGTTTAGTCTCATATAGTGGCTAATAATTTACTAAAACACGGAACAAATGAGCCACCAGTGCAACTCCCATCATTGGTTTGTGCCAACCAGGTGAGATTTGGCTGAAAATGTGTAGCCATGACTAAAAAAATACAACCAAATTGTTTATGGTGTGACTTATGGAGGTAACCTTAGCTACAGGTCTTTCCATGGAGATGCTTTAATCTTTGAAAAACTGTACCATAAGGTTTAAATTACAATATTATGAAGAGCTGAGTCACAATCGTCATTATTCTTCTCTGTCTCTCGTCTCCATTGTAATGACTTTCATTCCTGTTTACACCTATTTTATCATGTTGTTTAAAGCAATTGTGTGTTTTATTATTGCAGGTAATTGGAGTGATGGCAGGATTTCCACAACAACAGTTATCTCAATCATAGTCTCGTTTGTTAATATGCAAATTTATCCCCCAAAATTTGCCCAATGCTAATGGTCCAATAAACTCTAGTGCAGACGTTAATGGAAACAGATGAGTGCTGGTGTGTGTGTGTGTGTGTGTGTGTGTGTGTGTCCGCCCACCTGGAACAGCAGGCTGGTGTACTGTCCGGCCTGGGCCTGCAGCAGCGTCCCCTCCCTCGCTCTGGTCCTGAACACCAGGCCCAGGTACCAGGGCGTGGAGATGGTCACGTCGTTCTTCAGGTCCCACCAGAGGGCGCTGTTACCCAGGAAGCGGTGTGGGTGTGGCATCACTGAGGGGGAAAGGTGAGAGAGAAAAAAACTGCGAATAAAAAAATACTGCAACATCTTGAACAGCGGAAAGGTGTCATTGTTCACAGAACCCTGACGAAGCTAAGATGCTAACCATGGGCGCATGATTATGTTTTAACAATGGGGGAGTGAACTTGGAAAGATACATGATTGGTGAGAGGTAGGGGCGTCCTCCATCGGAAAGAGAACGTCATTTAAAGCACATTTTCTGCATTTTTACCCCTTTGATGTCTGTCCTCTTTGGCACTTTATTATTTGTTTTTCTTCGTGTGAGACGATGGAGACCATGTAAAAGTGTGAACTGGTCCATACATAAGAGTCGGCAGCCTTGTTGGTAGCAAACCAACCTCTACAAAATTACGTTCCTGTACAACTAAACTTCATTCTCAGTTGCTTTTTTGGGGAAATATATTTTCTGTTGGATTACATTCGTTGGTTCCCTATCACAAATATATTTAAAATAAACATGGTGGGGGGGTGCATGGTGGCTCGGTGGTTAGCACCATTGCCGGTTCGCGTCCCAGTTAGGACGCCCGGGATGTTTCTGCATGGAGTCTCCATGTTCTCCCCATGCAGCATGGGTTCTATCCGGGTTCTCCGGCTTCCTCCCACAGTTCAGAAACGTGTCGAGGTTAATTGGTGATTCTAAATTGTCCGTAGGTGTGAATGTCAGTGTGCTTGGTTGTCTGTCTCTAAGTGTAGCCCTGTGATAGACTGGTGGGACAGACTCCAACCCCCCATGACCCCAGTGAGGATTAAGCGGTGTACAGATAATGGATGGATGGATAAACATGGTAGCTCTATATATTCAGATGAAGATTTGTCACCCTAAAACTCTATTAATGGAAAGAGTTGTATTGTAACCCAAACCATAATGTTTTTCTCAACCTAACCAAGTAATTTTGTTTTTTAAATTTACCCAAGCTTCTAACATGTACTTATCATGACGGTGTCAGCCCAACCATTATATTTTACTAAATCTAACCACATAACTTTGGTGCCTAAACCTAACCAAAAGGCAAATAAAATCTGAAAGCAAACAATGAGTGACACTGAAACTCAAGACTAGGAATAATGTTCCAACATGGGATACAAACCCTGGCCCCATGAATGAAAGTCCTGTGCTGACTCATACCTTCATTCTCTCCTCAAACCTATTTACATGAATTTTATGGCTCTTTTAAACTGGAAACCTTTCCTAGAACACCAAAGGTGAGAAAACATGTTTGTTTTAAAGCAAATTGTACATTTAAAATGTACATAAGAATGAGTGCAGCTGCATAGGAACCAGATTGTGGTTAGTAGTCTGACTGGTTTAATTAAAAAACATCCCATATTCACAGATAAATCCTGTCCAATCCATAAGATAACATCTGGTGGTTTGGATGGCAAAGTTAAGTAGCATTGTCTTGTAAATCAGTTCAACCCTTCAGCAACAGCACAATCTACCTTTTAGAGTTTACCTGGAGTCTGTGGACAAAGCTGGTTTATTTAACATACACTAGCCTACATTCCAAGAGGTGGTTCCAAAAATATGTGACTGTTCTAGGACTTGTTCTTATATGTTGCTGAAAATAGCAAAATAATCATTAATACAAACTGCCTGAATATACTCACTTAATTTAGGGATAAGCTTTTTAAAGCTGGGTAACAAAACCATAACTTTGCGCCCACAAATTGAATTATCCTGATATATTTGCTCTATTTGCTCAGAGGACCTTTATTTTATTTCATATGATTTGATTTTAAATACGTTATCGATCCCTTTATCCCCTTGAGCTCGTTAGGAACCTCTACCCCATCATTTTGCATCATTCCCAAACTGTCTCCTCTCTTAATTCCTCCTTCATTTGTTTCCTTACTATTGCTGATTATCAAATAAAAGCATAAAAATAATTACTTAATCTGATAAATAAGAGACAAGCCACATCACAGGGATGTTGTTGTGTTGTACTGACAGACTCACAAGGACAAAACGAGTCCGTGTGAACATTTCTTTCCCGAGATCAAAAGAAACAACTGAGTTTTACCCCACAAGCACATTTTTGCTGCATGATTTCCCCTCAGAGTTGGACATCTGTGCTCGCAATCAAGACATGTCAGTAAACACAAAAGAGTGAAGCTCATCTTGAATCCACCTGGACTGCAGCAAGTCCACCCATGTGTGAGGAATCACTCCAGGTTTGTGTTGGTTCAATTATACACAGGAAATAAAGGCTTCCAGCTTGTACCTCACATGTTAGCTTTAGTGTGTCTTTGTGATTCTTCCTTTTCTTTAGTTTCACTTCTTTTCTTTACATTCACGTAGGTCCACACTCTCCCAACCCTGAACATGTATTTCTACGTTCACCTTCTTCCCTTACTGCAAAAAAAAAAAAACCTACAGCTGTGATGGATCAGCACTAAAATGAGAAAGAAATACTCAAAGGGTTTAAAAAATGCTGAAGAGCAGAGTGGGGCGTGAATGACATAGCACTTCTGAATCTGAACTACTGCTGCAGTGCAGTCTGCTGGAATTTAACCAGTGTTTAAAATCACAAATATCTTTATTAAGGTGAAACGTGTCACCTTGAGCATTTTCACATTAAGTCATTAAGCCTCTGAAAGGCACGTGTTTAAAAAAAATGACACCATTCATCTGAACTAGAAACTAAAATAAAGAAGAATGAATGAAAGATTTATTGGATTTTTTTAACCAACGGTCCAACGAACTTGTTTCATTGAAAAAAAAAGCCAAATCTGAGCCTGAAGTTGTGATATTCCTTCAAAATCTTTACACCTCATTTTTAAAAATCACCAAAAATGAACCATTTGCCTTAACAAGATTGTGTTAAAATAAAAATAAAAAATCTGCACTGCTCAATGCAACTGAGAACCAGCTGTCACCAACAATCCCATTATTAAAAACAACATTTTAAGCTGAACTGGTGGCTCAAATAAAAAATGGAACCAGTAAAAATATCTATAATAGGTAAAGCTGACTTGTTTTTTTTCTAGTAATGTCTTACATGGTTATTTTGTAAAATAAATAATCAAAGAAATTCTCCTTTTTTCTCTCCTTTTGTATTATTTACAGCATTAAAACTTTGTTAAACTTTACAAAATGCATTTCTCTCTCCATTTTAGCCACAGTGGTTCTATTTCCATTGAGCTGCAGGACTTTGTTTTCCAGTAAACAGAGAAGGAACTGCTTGAGGTTCAGAGGGTTAATAATTCCAAAACTGCTACCTGGAGCATTTTTAAAATTGGCACATTATCAACTAATTAATGAGGCAGTAGTATAATCACCACCAGCAAACAAAGGTCTCTGAAGTTCACACCTGTTTTTCTGCATTATGTAAAAACATGACCAGTCTGATCCCCGCCGGCGTGAAAAGCGCAAACCGCTGCTCGTGTCACCTCGTCTGTTACTGATAATTACAGCAAAGTGGCCCGATAGAAGTGACACTGTTAAAGGTTGCCGTTACTGTAGTTATGCACAAAGTGGGAATGAAAGCAGGATCTCACCGTGGCTGCAGTCCTTCCCTCCGTATCCCAGCGGGCAGTCGCAGGAGAACGTCTCCCAGCTCACCCTGCAGGTGCCTCCGTTCTGGCAGGGGTTGGACTTGCAGAAGGGCAGTTTGGCGCTGCAGCCTGCAGGAAGCAACATGGTGGTTTACAAAAACGTAATCACTCTAATGTTTGTTAATCACAACATGGCTGATAAATCATGAAACCGCAGCTGCGTGAAGCGGTCTTTGGATACCAATGTGCACAATCAGAGGTGATTCGTCTTTAAAGGCCACACATCATCAAGACCGTGACGAAAACATGAAGCATCACTGTGTGGGTTCTTTAAAATGTTACTGAAATTATTAGTGTTCCTGAGTTTCACACACATTACTGAGGTAAGAGACTGTAGGAACTGCCACAAAAACCACATTACAGTATAGTGTATTTTTAGGATTATTGCAGGTAAATCCTTTAATCTAC